GTGGTGGTGGTGGTGGTGGTGGTGGTAGTAGTAGTAGTAGCAGCAGAAGAAGATGAAGAAGAAGAAGAAGAAGAAGAAGGGTCGGTCCACGTGGGAGTTGAGACCGGTTTCTCTGGCATGCATTTTCTGCGAGATGAAGAAGGAACGGAACTGTTGTACGCGGAGCCGAGGTCGTATAGCGAACCGATGATTACGCGATTGTGACCTGCGCGATCGTTCCAACGGCGACGTGGTAAGGTTGAACCGCCGTCGAATCCAAAGGCTGGTTGATAGACTCTGTGGAAGTGATAAGAGAGATAGGAGAAACAGGAAAGGTTATCGATTGGTAAGAAACGCGAGAAAACTTCCGCGAGAGATCTATGTGATGTATGAGAGAGGTACGTGTCCCTACCTTATCTAAACCTTCAAAAGAACTTAATGTCAATGTCGCCGGGTCTGCTCTTATGATAGGTATATATGTGGGTCATCAGGGAGTTACGCGAGCAGTATACCCGCTCGCAGATGACGCATCTGTACTCCTCCTGTCGCTCGGCGTGCTTGTCGGCAACGTGGCGTTTCAGGGATGCTTTGCTGCATAGCACCTTGCCGCACAGCTGGCAGGTGAACAGCTTCTTCGCTGACTGGGTGTTCAGAGAGTTCAAGGTCAGCCCCGTCATAGAGGTGAGCACTGAAACACAACAATGCACCTCATGCAGCTGCAACCCCCACACTTAAACCCTATCTCGTATCAAAGGATGACGCAAGCGATAAACTCTTTCTCTCTGTTCATCACCGTCCTCTTTCTTCCCATTTTTTCTTCCTGCTCTCTAACATTTTCCTCTTTCTTTCTTTCTAAAATTCGTCCCTTGTTATTTTCAATCTCTCTTTCTCCCTCGCTCGTTCTCTGTTCGCCCGTGCTCGTATTTTCCTAAACGACGCGGTAAGTTCAATAACGGGTAAGTAAAACGTGGAACGTTGTCAGATGGAAATGGATATTGCGCGTATTAGGTGGGTTCGTTTCTTTCACGAGGATGGAAAATGTAAAAAACATGTAAAAACGAATCCGATCGTTATACCGAAAGATAAATGTCGGAAAAGTCCTTTCTTCGATGGTGTCTTTTCAAATCTCGGCCCCGTCTCTTTCTCTCTCTCTCGCTCGCTTGCTCTCTCGCTCGTCTTTTCTCTCTCTCTCTCTCTCTCTCACTCACTCATTCTCTCTTTCTACACGTTATTGTCACGTTTTTACAAATTATTCACGGACCAGTTCTAGCTGTCGCATTGTACGGCAAAAACTGTCAGAATTCAACGTTTCCTTTAGGCTTTTTAGAACGTGCCTCCTTACATGATTCGCGCAACTTTTCAACAATCGCATCAACGTCTCTGCGATGCGATCACCTTCACGATCCTTCGTATTTCCGCGTACCTCGTGACCCTCGTTGGCATTCTATGGAAGTCCCGGCCTCGACCCACCCTATCGTGCGCGCGATGCCGTTCATTTTAAACGTCGCGGGATTAAACGGGACCAAGATTCAAAAAGGAAAAACAAGGCGAAAAGGAAAACGAAGTGAAACGAACCCAGAGTGCACATTCGATATAGCGAAAGAAAGGGGGGAGGCTCTGGGGGTGTGGAAATTCTTCCGACGACGTTTCAAAATGGCTGGTCG